GGCCTGAGGTGGGGCCAGTGGGGAATAGGGAGGGCCGGACAGCACCTGAGGTGGGGCCCAGGGGCGGTGGTGGCTGAGTAGGCCTGAGGAGAGGCCGGGGGACAACGGGGACCCGACAGGGCCTGAGAAGGGTCAAGGGGACAGTAGGGGCTGGACAGGACATGAGGGGCCGAGAGGATGGAGAGCCCTGGATGCGACGTGGGATGGGTCCACAGGGGGCCGAGGGCCGAGGCCCGGGCAGATCTGCAGGAGGGGCTGAGCACCTGCGGGAGGGAGGGGTGTCTGAGGGGCCGAGGAGCAGTTAGACAAGGGCAGTCAGAGGCGGTGAGCCGGCCCGTGGCGGGGCGGGGTTCGGGGGATGCGCAGCACCGAGGGGCTCGGAAGATCAGGTACGAAAGGTCGGGAATGGAGTGGAGATGATGGGGAGGAGTGCGGAGGGGAACCCGGAGAATGCGTGGCTGCCCTGGGCATCCGGGGAAAGATTGTAATAAGTGGATAAAGTAAAAAGGACTAGGGAGTCAGGGCCAGGCTTGGGTGACAGGAAGGGTCTGAGGACCTACCCCTAAGGTGGCGTGGCGTGGTGCCCCCCTGGTAGGTACAGAAAAGGAGGTATTGGGGGTGGGGGGAGCTTGGAACTCAGGGACACTTGGGTAAGGAGTCCAGAAAACCTTGGGCAGGGGCTGTCGTGATCTGAAGGGAGCGATGGAGAGGGCGAGGATGTTGCCAGGGGAGAGGACAGTTTGGAAAGAGTGTCTGTTTGTAACATAAATATAAGAATCACCGGAGTGTGGGTGGGAAATGGGCAATCCATCTCTAGGGAATCCTCCGTCTGGGTGCAAAGAGATGGGGAAATTGCTTTGAGGAATCGAAGAGGTTGCCATACAGCCATTCATTAGAACAGTGGTTCTCAACCTTCTGGCCCTTTAAATACAGTTCCTCATGTTGTGACCCAACCATAAAATTATTTTCGTTGCTACTTCATAACTGTGATGTTGCTACTGTTATGGATCGTAATGTAAATATCTGATATGCAGGATGGTCTTAGGCGACCCCTGTGAAAGGGTCGTTCGACCCCCAAAGGGGTCGCGACCCACAGGTTGAGAACCACTGCTTTAGAAGAAGACAGTGAAGGGTGAAGGAGCTCTTGAGTAGTGACTAGGGGGTGGGAACTAGTGACTTCCGGGAGGAGGTGCAGGGTGATGGGCTTGCCCCCGAAGTCCAGGAGATTGGGTGACAGGGGGGGATGTCTCCATTGCTGAATTTTTCAAATGGGAGATGCCCCATCCCTGAGGCTCATGGTTCCAAGGAAACATCTCGGGACTTTTTCCCCCCCCCTTTCCAAAGAGGAGAGATTGAATGTGTGTGTGTGGCATTTACAGTAAAACTGTGCTTCCCTCCAGGGGAGGGCAAGTGGACAGCATTGGGCCAGAAGCCCAGGAATTTTGGGAGTGAGAGATGTCCAAGTAGAGAGCAACTGGTGGTGTGCGAAGGGCTGTTTCCATGTTGTCGGTGAAGCACTTTGTCCCGTCTGACGGCTCTTGGGAAGTGTTTAGGACATAGTAGGGAGCTTTGGATGGCAAAGGGAGCAGAAACTCGTGTCATCCCAGCTAAAGAGTATGATTTTGAAGCCCTCTACCTGACTTTCTTGATAGCCAGTGTGATGTTGACTCAGCCAGAGCTTTATGGGGCGAGGAGGAAGAACCTTGGATGTCAACAGGAAGAGAGCATGGTGCACTTCGGATTCTAATCTTGACTGTCTAGAAAACCGGCTTTTCCCATTTTCCTGATCCTTTTTTCTGAGAATCTGCAGAAACCTGTAGTTTTGTAAAGGTGGTCAGGCAGGGAAAGGGATCTTCAAAAGAGATCCGAGTGAGTTTCAAAGAGAGGGCCTCTCTTCCCATTCTTTGTTCTCCTCCCCGTGAAGCCTGTTAGGGAAAGGCCCAAGGTGCTGGGGATGCAGAGCCTCCCTGGCATGTGCGTTTCCTTCCTGCCTGACTTGTGCCCTGTGTGTGCTCAGGCATGTATGACGTTCCTGGGCAGGGGACACGGAGAGGGGCATCCGAGACACTTGGCTGTGGCTGCAGCACTGCAGCTCTGGGAAGGGTGTGAGTGAAGGTCACACAAGTGAGCACAGCTCCAGTCTCAGCCCAGCACTGCCTCTGTGGCCCTCTCCTTTGGAATTGCACCCTATTGCTGCTGGGTGGTTTTGCTCCCAAGGAGCCAGGGAGAAATGTCTCAGTGTGCAGCTGTCATGTCAGCAGCCTCAGAGCATCCTGTCAGGAACTGGCTGATGCCCTTCTCTTTTTGGGGGGCGGGGGTAGACTTGGTGCCCATCCAGGGTCTGAAGGTTGTCCCTGTTGATGTTTCTGATACTTCCTCTAACAAGATTCTCCTTGATTTGATTTCTGCAAATTCTTGGATGTGATTTTTAATGCTGTTCTTAAAGATAAAAGGCTGATTGTTTTCTAGGAAGTTTCTACTGAGGGTGCTGAAATTGTGGCCTCCAAGTTGGAAATATTTTTCTGCATTGTCAGCTTTTTCTAATGGGAGGAGAACATGAGTAGCAGCATCCAATAACCGGCAGGATTTACATTGTTTGAGTCATTCTGGAGGAGGGGAGTTAGCAGGCAGTAAAGACTTGGAGCCCATTTTGTTTTTCCTGCTACTTTTCCGCCTGGTGTTTTGCCCATAGCGTGATGTTGTTCTCAGACCCCTCTGTGTGCTTCTTGCTACCTGGGGGATCTTTGTGGAAATAGAAAATAGTAAGCAGACTGTTTACCAGCCTAGAGCAAGAATCCTAATTGGTGAAACCACTGCATAGGACAGAGGGCATAGCAGCTCATGCTTCAGCAAACACCCAAGATACGGGAGGCTCCAGGGGGTACCGGCTAGGGCCTGGGAACTGACATCTCAGCTTGGAAGTGGGCTGGTTTTATATGAATACAACTAAGCATTTTTGTGTCAGCCCTCTGACCTCACAGCTTTGAACTAAGGGTTGGCTGTTGCTCTGCCTGACAATGCAAGGCACCCGGAGGAGTGTTGCTAAGCGTCATACCAATGTGGAGTTCTGAGCAGTGTGGGGACTTTGCTGGTCATAGCTTCTCTGTCAGATTTTTGGTGGTACCTCCAATGATTGGTGGTCATTGAAATGGAGAAGGAAAAGACGTGATCAGTTGGGGTGCCTTTGGATAGCTTCTGGAAGCCAGGACACAAGTTGGGTGTCCTCTCTTGGTGGCTCTGTGGTAGTAGCTTGTATTGTAATATCCTGGTTGGAGGATGCTCTTAGAGTGATTCAGCCTCCAAGAAGCTTGGCCCCTTCCTAGCCTTTCACCTTGAGGGTTGGGTCCACACACGTGTAAATCCCCAGGGCCTAATTCTTTGGGTCTGAATCCTCATCTTGGCTTCAGAGTTTGCAGGGGTGGGTCCTCCTATGTTAGCCGCTCTCATTGGCAGGTTTTGTCGGGGAGATTAGTGGAGGAGAGGGAGAAGACATTTCTGAATGTGAATCAGAAGCCTCCTGGGAAGTAGCTGATGGGACAGGTTTACACTGAATCACAGAGCCCTAAATGGAATACCAGAAGGGCACAGAGCGTCCTAGCCTCGAAGCACTTGGGGCCATTCTCTGCTGGGTTTTTGACAACGAGTGTAGTGTCATGTGCAACAAAATGTTTAATACTATTCTAAAATGATGCTTTAAGAGCCTTGGGCAGGTTTGAGAGCCTGAACTTGTTTTCCCTCTCTTACAGTCGAGTCATCCTGCCTGTATCTGTAGAGGAGGTAAGTCCTTCATTTTATCCATAGTTGTATATAATTGCTCCAAGTGGCCCAAACTCTTTGTGTGGTTTTCATGTTTTTCTAACATAGAGGTAGATAATCGATACTTGATGTGAATTTTCCTGGTGCTACTTTCAATTGAAGGAAAGCACTTATTATTATTTTTAATTTAATTTAATTTAATTTAAATTTTTTTAGGATAGGAAAGGAAGTTGTCTTTTTTCCAATACAATCAGTTTACATTCAATATTATTTTGCATAGCGGTTAAACAGTCATAGACTTTAAAAGTGTTCCCTGTGTCTTGGCTGGTGTTCAGTGGTTAGAGCGTTGGCCTGCGCACCAAAGGGTTGCAGGTTCAATTCCCAGCCCTGATCGGGGCACATTCGAAAGGCAACCAATAGATGAGTATTTCTCCCTCTCCCTCTCCCTCTGTCTCTGTCTCTCCCTCTGTCTCTGTCTCTGTCTCTGTCTGTCTCTCCCTCCTTCTTTCTGTCTCTCCCTCCCCCTTACTCCCTTCCACTATCTCTTAAAAAAAAAATCAATGGAAAAAATATCCTTGGGTGGAGATTAACAAAAATTAAAAATAAAATAAATAAAAATGTTCCCTCCAGTATTCCCAATACCCACCTGGTACCATACATAGTACAATATTGACTGTATTCCCTATGTTCTCCTCATATGCCTGCAGCTCTTCTGTAACTACCAATTTGTACTTCTTAATCCCTTCACCTTTTTCACCCAGTCCCCCAACCCTCCCCTCTGGCAATCATCAGTCTCTCCTCTGTATCTAAGAGTCTGTTTCAATTCTGTTTGTTCATTTATCTTGTTCCTTAGATTCCATGTGTAAGTGACATCATATGGTATTTGTCTTTCTCTGACTGATTTATTTCACTTAGCATAATATTCTCTAGGTCCATCCATGTTGCAAATGGTAAGATTTCATAAGGATGCATATATTCTGTCAGTTTAGTATTTTGGGTTTCTTCAGGCATATACCCACAAGTGCAATCTCTGGATCATAAGGCAGTTCCATTTTTAATTTTTTGAGGACCCTCCATGCTGTTTTTCAAAGTTGCTGCTCCAATCTGCAGTCCCACCAACAGAGAAGGCACTTGCTTTGTATACCTGGGCAACTGTATACAACTTGCCTCAAGTTCTTGGCATGCTAGTTAACCGAATAGAGACTAAGTCAGCCCCCTTTACCTGATGGGACTGTGCCTGTTCAGGGACATGTTATTGAGGGGATTGAGTGTGCATTTCTGGGACCTCCATGACTTGACTGGGAAGTGTGCATAGCTCTCTCTGGTTGTGCAACAAACCAGCAGGGCAAGAAATCTTCGTGGCCCTCCCTAGCTATACTCTAGGTGACTGCTGGAAAGACCAAAGCCCAGAACCCTCCTTTTACGGAGGGCAGGGAGTAGCAAATGGGCTTGGCTTGCTCTTTATCCTTTTATGGTTCTTGGGCCTGTTGTCTCTGTGTATGGGGATCTGGCAGGATTTGCCACAAGAAAGTTTATAGGCCATGCTGACTCAGAGTTGGTCTCCTGGACAGCAGAGAACTGTCACAGAGCCTCCCTTGTCCCACCCTTTCCCTGAACTTCCTCCACTTTTCTCTCCTGGCGCAGCCTTCTTTTTTGCTTCCTTCTGAATCCATAGTCCTCTCTCCACCCCCACTTCCAGTTAAGCTTAAGTTTGGGTGAAATTTGTCAGCCAACATAATGCCCCTCAGTCATTCTCTCTCCTGCAGAGTCAGCATGAAACTCCTGTGATAAAAATAATAAAAAAAACTAAAATTAAAATTAAAAAAAAGAAACTCCTGTGATAACTTCCAGTCTACTCCAGATATGAAATGGACCTTTGAAAAATGAAATCAGTACACACTAGATGAGACCAATAACCAAGCTTCTTGACCCTCCAAAAGTGGTGGGCAGATATTAGCCTCTTAGAGGATTGTCTCCAGTGATAGGCTGTACGTCTGATAAAAGCTATGGAGACCTAGGAGGGGAGCCAGAGGTGGCCTCGAACATGATCTTGGAGTTCTGTGAAAGGAGAAGGGAAACAAGACTAAGGAAGCTGGGGAAAGGGGTGGTGGATAGATGCTGCCATCCCTGGAGGAGCCTGAGATGTACCTGAGACCTGGGAACCACATGCTTGGTCTGCAGGCATCCGCATGGAGGACCTTGTTAATCCACTTCCTTTGGGGGCTGTGCTGCTTTGTGAAGATTAGCAAGTGAAGATTTTCCCTGAAACTCAGCTCTTGAGGGTCCGATGATTCCCTCTCTGCTATACAGCTTGGACCCACCTGCCAGTCAAGAAGAAGTCCCAGGAATTTGGGAGTACCTCATTGTGGCATTTAGGGGTGACATGAATCTTTTCGCAGAGCGTTTGTTGATGGAACGAAGGGTGGGAATGTCTCTGACAGTGTGGCAGACCCAGGAGGGCCAGCACCTGTCTGGCACTTCCTGGCTGCTCTGTAGGAAAGTTGGAGGGGCCAGAACACTGATTGCTTATAACAGGCCAAGGAGGGAAAGGGGAACTCCGAGCGTGTCTGAGATTAGAGGTTTTAGCTTGTGGTGGCTTTTTTGAAGCATTGAGGAAGTGATGGGGGCAAGTGAACAGAGCTGAAAATCCAAGCAGCCGCTGGGGCAGTAAGCACTGGTTAGGATTCATCTGTTTGCCTGATGATGGTCAACCTGTTCTCAGCTAGAAACTGCTGCTGAGAAAGCAGTGCTTGGCCTAGGTTGGAAGCAGGAGCTGCTCTTTTGATGGCTTGCACCTTAGTTCCAGAAGATCAGAAAATCTTGAATGGGAGGCCATACAGGAAACAAGCAATGATCAACCTTCTCAGTCTTTATTAATAACTCCATCCTGACTTAATGGTTCCCATGGGAGCAGCCCAGTCTTGTATAACTGATAGATTCACTTCCTTATTGGAGACCATGATTTTAGGTCCTCGGAGCTTTCTGATTTGGGGGGGAAAGAGAAGGCCATGGCTTTATAACCATCCTGATGGTACAAATCAATATTTTGGGATGGAATTAGCTTCTGGCTGGCCAGACACTTTGGCCTAACACTGCACAGGGTTTCTGGGCATTCTGCAGCAGAGCAAGAAAACTTTGGCTGTTTGACACGGGTGTGTCCACCAGTGGTTCCTGGCTCAGGGCTGCCCACCCCCTACTGTGGGTAGGCCTGTTTTATCTTGTTTCCAGAGATGCATGGCACCATTCCCCTGTGGTAACTGTCCTGACAGGGCTGTGTGGGTAGGACCAACAGCTGTGATGGTTTGTTTAATGTCAGTGTTTTAGCCCCACCCACAGCATCTTCCTGGGTTTCTACTCCCAGATTGCCCAAGTGGTGCAGTCTCTTGTTTTCCTTAGCTGGGTATCTTAGTTCTTTGGGACAAGGGAACAAATCTCAAGGGCAGGGAGCAGTATCCTAGGCCTGAGGCAGCTGGAATCCCAGTCTCCTCAACTCTTTATCTGATGTGATGGTCTCACCCCTGCTCCCACCTTCACCCCATTTGAGTCTAGCTGCTTTCTGCTTTCCCGGGGTGTAGAGCCACTATGCCACAGGGAACCCTTGGACGTAGAAGGTGTCCCTCACTTGTGGCGTGTGGAGGCCAGTTTAACTTACCCCTTTGGATTAGCAAAACTGCCTTCACTTGTCTTACTGAGATTAAAGGATCAGAATATCAAGGGCGATTAAAGGGGGAAGGTGCCTTCCAACAGAGTGATCCTCTTAGAGCCAGCCCTCTGATTTCTGCAGCTGAAGGGGAACCAATGAAAGGGCTTAGTCTCTACTTGGAGCCCCTCTCCAAGCAGTGGCACCAGCCAGCAACGCAGTCCCCGCCACCAGCCTTTTCCCTAGCCTGCCCTTTAGGATTGCTGAGTCAGTGGTTAGATGTTCTTATGACTCTTCTCTGAAACAGAATTGCTGCTCCTTCTTAGGAACCCCTGGCTCAGCCAAACCCTGACCCACTTGATAGAGGTGTGCCTCAGTAGGGGGTGGCCTTGGAAAATTTTGCACAGGGACAGCTTGGGGTTCCATGGGGACATTGAAGCAACAGTGATGTTGCTCTGGATTAGCAAGGTCAAGATGCCTGGCTGTCACCCCAATGCTCCTCTTTATGGGATTAACTGAGTCTTGGTTGCTTGCCTGGGATTTTCCTTGGCATTTTGTGCTGGTTTCTGCTTTGAAAGTTAGGGCTCTTTCAGCTTTGTGGTGAACAGTAAATTGTCCTGGTCTGCTGCTTCACCTTCCAGACTTTGCCCAGAAGTTTCCCTACGGTGCTTAGGAAGCTTCCTGGTTAAGTAAGCATCCAAGTTTGAGGTGAAACAGCCCTGGATGCTGCCTCTGCTCCTTGCTCTTGCAAGCAGTGGTTTAAATGACAGCTGCCCAGAGACACAGCCTCTCTGTTTTAATCTCAAAGGGAGAAAAATGCTCTCATCTTTCACTCCTGGGAGTACCAGTAGTTTGGGACGGGGGCATGCGGGATGGGGAAAACCTTTATCTACCTCCACAACATGTTGGGTAATCAAATGCCTTTTTCTCATATGTGTGCCTGGTTGGCACTGGCAATGACAGGCAAGATGCATCCTGTGGTATAGATGTAACTTCCGTCGCTAAATGTTCCTATTTATTCTCTTTTCACCTTATTTTTTCGTTTGGACAGTTTCCTTCAGAGAGGAGGGAGCAAAGGGGCCAGGCCTGGCCACTGCCCAGGTCATTGGCCCTAACACTGAGTGTCCTGAGAGGGTCAGAGGAGGCCAGTGATCTTGACTGGTGACTTGATAGGGTGGCATGTGACCCAAATAAAGGAAAACTAGGCTTTTGCCATCTAGTAGGTGCCAAACCAGAGGGTGTACCCAGCCAGCACAGACCGTGGGGTAGGAATCTGTGCTATCTAATATGGGAAACACTTTGCTTCAGCCCCATCAGGAATCTGGAAAGTATCTGGAGGTCTGGTTGCCTGTGAGGCTGTTTTCTGAGCTTCTGGCGGGCGGCGGGGGAGGGGGGGACCATTGGAGAAAGAACTCATGTCTTAGGATCTGTTTAAATGAATGGAATAGACTTCTAGCAACTACCCCAGATCTTGTTTTAAGGGCTTAATAAAAAGACAAAAGCTACCTTGCATTCTATCTTCTGTTTTCTGGATGGTGGTGTGAAAATGGGAAGGATAAAATTAAACACATCTATCTGATGACTAAAGAGAGGCCATGGAGCAGGGTTGTCAGTTGTTTTGGATGAATTTGGGCAAGGCCCTGTGTGAAACTTCAGAATGAGTTCTTAAGTTAGGGGACCCCAAAGTGACATAATTGGACAATTACTGGCAACTGGACCATTGTAACTGTTTAGAAGATTCTGCATTGACAATAACTCCTATCTCTCTGTTCCTTTAGTATCAAGTAGGACAGCTGTATTCTGTGGCTGAAGCTAGCAAAAATGAAACAGGTGGTGGAGAAGGCGTGGAGGTCCTGGTGAATGAACCCTATGAGAAGGACGGTGAGAAAGGCCAGTTCACACACAAGATCTACCACTTACAGAGGTATGTGGCCGTGCAGCAGAGCCTAAAGATGGCCTGGTTTTGAAGTGGAGATAAAGGATAATTGGGGGTTTCCAGGTCATTAGCTGGTTGCTTCACCTTAGAGTGGGTGTAGGTGGTAGTACTTCTTTGTTCATTTAAATGTTTTGGGGTTGTTTTTTGTTTTGTTTATTTTATTTTTTATTTTAAAATAAAAGTAATTCTTGCCCTAGCAAAGCGTCAGCCTGTGGACTAAAGGGTCCTGGGTTCAATTCCAGTCAAGGGCACATGCCTGGGTTGTGGGCTCGGTCCCCAGTAGGGGGCCTGCAGGAGTAAAAGTAACACTTGTCCCATCAGGCTCCCAGTCCCCAGAAGTGATAGTGTGATAGTGTTTAGTTTCTTGTGGGCCCTTCTACAGTAATACTCATTGTCTGTGAGTATAGGTGTGTGTGTAAATGGATGTTCATTTCCTTTATTGTTATCTTAACACAGATGGGATCATACTATACACACTTGACTTTGCTCTCTTGTTAGTTATCATATCATAGCTTTCTTTCACTGTCAGCATATTTGGCCTCATTCTTTTGAAGTACGCATAGTATTATTTTGTACAGATGTGCTGTAAGTTTTTCACCTTTCCCCTTTTGGGATGTGCCCGCAACCCAGGTACATGCCCCCGACCAGAATCGAACCTGAGACCCTTGAGTCCGCAGGCCGACGCTCCATCCGCTGAGCCAAACCAGCTAGGGCTTGACTTTGCTCTCTTATTAGTTATCATATCATAGCTTTCTTTCACTGTCAGCATATTTGGCCTCATTCTTTTGAAGTACGCATAGTATTATTTTGTACAGATGTGCTGTAAGTTTTTCCCCTTTCCCCTTTTGATGTATGTTTATAGTCATTTCCAGATGTTTACATACAGTACTCCAGTAAAACGGTTGTGCAAAGCTTTTGATGTACTTGTGTGTGTAAATCTATAGTAAATGTTCCTTCCTAAAAAGTGAGATTGCTGGGTCAGGTAGTATTTTAAATTCTGATATTGTGAAATCAGCTACCAGAAAAATTTTGGTGCCTCTCTTTGGATCAAAGACATAAATATTTAAATATTTGAACTGATTTGTGTACTAAAATCCATAGCAAACCACACAAATTTGCTGAATCCCTAACCAAAATAGTAATACAAAGTGTGGCAAAGTAGTTGTGAGTACACAAAACAGAGTTTATTCTTTTTAAAAAATATATATGTTTATTGATTTTAAAGAGAGAGAGAGAGAGAGATAGAAACTATGATGGATCGGTTGCCTCCTGCATACCCTTGGGATGGAGCCCACAGCCTGGAATAGAACCTGTGACTTCTTGGTGCAATATGCAAGTTGTCCTCACAGGAGTTTGACTGGGAGACTGATCGCTCACTATGACATGCGCTGACCACCAAGGGGCCGCATGGAATGAAGGAAGCCCCTGCTGGCAGCCAAAAGGAAGGCCCCAGCTGGCCGCCGGAAGGCCCTGATCAGCCCTGATTACTGGCCAGGTTCAAGCCCACAACCCAGGCATGTGCCCTTGACTAGAATTGAACCTGGGACCCTTCAGACCACAGGCCAGTGCTCTATCCACTGAGCCAAACCAGCTAGGGCTCTTACAGTATTATTAATAATTATATTATTTTCCATACAAAACCTACTTTTGCCACACCCTGTATTTCAGTAAACTCTGAGCCAACCCAAAGGGTGTTGAAAATAATAGTAAACATGTACCAGCTTGAATGGAAGTTGAACCAAGCAAGTTTTAGAAACTATCTAGAACTGGAAAAAATAAACCTGAATATTTTTTTAAATTGTGGTAAAATATGCATAACAAAAAATTCAACATTTTAATCATATTTTACGTGTACAGTTCAGTGGCATTAAGTATATCTACATTGCTGTGCAACTTACACCTGAATCTTAATTTCTAGTCACCAGACTGAACTAAAACCAGTTTCATCTTCATTGGTAAAATCCCTGATTGAATGTAGTCTGCCCCTCTAGAGATGTAAAAGTGCTAGCCCTAAGGGGGCTAGGGTTTTGTAGTGTGGGAGCCAGGAGGAAGCAACACTGTGAGGTGTGTGTGTGGAGGGGGGACTCACTGTGTTCCCATTTCCTTGCCAGTGTGCTTTTTCCTCCATGCTTCCTCTTTATCTCCTCCTTCCCTACTCTGAGTTGACTGTTAACCAGTACTTAAGGATCCATTAATAGTTAATTAAAATAAGGCTCCAAATGTATGTCAATGATAGTTGAGACAAAATTTTTTTTAAATTTAAGGCTCAAGATATGTCATCTCTGTAGTTGCATTTGTATTTTTCAAAGAGGATTTTGAAAAGAGATAGTGAGGTTGATAGAAGGGGCAGTTGGTTCCTCAGCTCATTTGGTCCAACCAAAGTTGCAGAAAGGAGGTCTGCAGGACCGGTCTTTCCCTCTTCCTTACAAAGGAGGGTGTAAACTTTGAGCTGCTACCAGTACTCCCTTAACTCCACACAGCTGCAAAAAAAGTTTTTTTAAGTGCTGAATGCCACAACCACCTCTCCTCATGAGGACCATCTAGTTGCCCCAATCGGGAACACAGGTTCACCATCACCCTCTTCTTCATCCCTTATGTCAAATCCCTATTGACTCTATCTCCTCAGTACCACCAACCTAGCCATTTCTTTCCATCATCTCTTGCCTCCATTACTGTAGTAGTTCCTAACTGGTCACCTTGGTTTCCACTTCACACAGCTTTGAGTGTTCTTTCTAGAAGACAGATCTGTTGCTCCCCAGCTTTAAAAGCTATAGATGGCTTCCCTTTGCCCTCAGGATAAAGTCCATACTCTTTGATGTAACCTACAAGATCTTTTATGACCCAGCCTCTGCAGGTTCTCTTGTTCCCTACCTCATCCCTTACACCAGGTACTCTGAACTTCTCTCTCTTCTCCAAACTTTTCTTACCTTATTCCTATCCTTGTGTCTTGCTCAGTCCTACTCACTCTCTGCTCTGTGTTCATTTAATCCTTCTCCTGAGGAGCCTCCCCATGCACCATGCTGCCTGCACCATGTTCTCCTGTGCTCTGTCCCCCAGAGCCGTGTGCTTACCCATTGTGGCACACAGTGTTGTTCCCTGTCTGGTTATACTCCCCACTGGAATGTCAGCTCCTTGAGGGCAGGACCTGTATGGTGTCTGTATGTATCCTGGTGCCTGGCACATGGAAATACTGACCTGAATGAGCATGGCAGTGAGTGGATGTGTCTCAGGGCTGCTCTGAATTCTCTGAGTAAGCTCTCTTTGAGGTTAGCTCTCTTTTCTTAGGCCTCAGGCACTAAAGCTGATGATATTGTTGGAGGCTGCTAAAGCCTGCTTAGAATACCAGTGAAAGATTACGGAAGAGAAATATATATATATATACCTTAAATGGGGGAGAGGCTCTTACTGAACCTGCTTTTCTGTAATCTGGGATACCAAGAATTAAACAGAAGAAAATATTTTGTCCTGGGAGGCACATGGCCCTGAGGGCTTCCTGGCATCCCAGGACTGACAATGAGAAGATTATCAGATCTTCTGGAATCCCATACTGAAGTTAGTCAGTCAGTCTGTCTGGCCCATAAACCTGGACTGGTATACTCTTGGAGGTATGTCATCCATGCCGTGTGGAATATGATGCCCCGGGCCCAGTGAGCTCTGGAAAAAAAGCATACTGATAATGTAATGGCTGATAAGCCGTGGCAGGTAGCCCACGGTCTCACCTCCTGTCCTGTTCCTGGTGGGTGGTGGGGCAAGATGTGGGTGGATGTTAGTAGCTAGCCCAGCTGGGGGTTCAGGCTCTGACAGGTGGCTTCTCACCCATAAGAGTAACCTAGATACCTCATGGAAATTTACTTGTCAATTCCCCATTGAAGAGGCTAGGGCTGTGGCCTGAAGAGTGTGATGTAAAAGCCCATTGTCTTCTCATTCTCTCCTCCATTTCTTTTCATAACCCCTCTTTCTTACTATAGCAAAGTGCCCGGGTTTGTTCGAATGCTGGCCCCAGAGGGAGCCCTGAATATACATGAAAAAGCATGGAATGCCTACCCTTATTGCAGAACTGGTGAGTGCAGACCTGGCTAGAAGCTGGGGTTTGGGCCCCAAGCCAGAAGATGTGGTCAAGTAGACCCAGCGGTGGGGACGAATTGGGGTTTTGTGTCCCATGTTCATTTTCTGGATTAAGCCAGTGGGAAGATGAGTTTAGGAATTTCCTTCAGACCTGAGGCTGATGGAGTCATTGTTGTCTAGTAATTTGGCAGCCAGCTGGGTGGAAACCACCACATAGCCATGGCCTGAGCTGGCACAGAACCAGCCCTTCTTATTTAGGGGATGGTATGATAATTTTGATTGTTTTTACTGATTACGAAAGTACTGTTCTCTGTTTAAATTTTAGAAAATACATAGAAACAGAAGAAATTAACCACCCATGATTCTCTCTCTCTCTCTTTAATTTTTAAAACGGTTTGAGGGAGAGAGAAACAAACATTAATTTGTTGTTTCACTTATTTATGTATACATTGGTTGATTCTTTTTTATTTTTATTCATTTTTAATCCTCACCCGAGGAGTGAGAATATTTTTTCCATTGATTTTTAGAGAGAATGGAAGAGAGAGAGAGGAGAAAAAGAAAGAGAAAAACATCAATGTAAGAGAGACACATCAATTGGTTGCCTCCTGCTTGTGCTCCAACCTGGGCCGGGGATTGAACCTGCAATCAAGGTATGTGCCCTTGACTGGGAATTCAACCCGTGACCCTTGGGTCTGTGGGCAGATGCTCTAACCATTGAGCCAAACCAGTGAGGGCATTGGTTGATTCTTGTATGTGCCTTATCAGGGATTAAGCCTGAAACCTTGGTGTATCAAGATGATGCTCTAACCAACTGAGCAACCCGGCCAGGGCCCATCCATGATTCTCGTATCCCTAGATAGTCACTGTTAAGATTTTAGTATCTTTCTTCCTGGTCCTTTTTTAAAATCTTACATATACACACATATATGAAATGTCCAGACATGTTTCCTAGACAAATTTTGGATCATATCATATTAACTATTAAATCGCTCATTTTACTCAGTAAATGAAGAATCTTTTTCCTGTCACTACATAGTCTCCTATTTTTAAAAATTTGTAATGGCTGCATGTATTCCATTGTATGAATATACTATGATCTTTTTAAACCACTCCCTTATTGTTAGATACTGAAATTTCCAGTTTTAATATGATATATTTGTGTTTGGCTTGAAAAACAGCGTTGAGGCCAGGGACTCTTGAGAGAGGCAACAGTCATAGAAAAGAGCCTGAGGGTGACCTTCTTGCCTTGGGGAAGGGCCAGGCCTGGACACCAAGAAAACATAGCAAAGGAGCCTTAGCCAGTTTGGTTCAGTGGATAGACCACCAGCCTGAGGACTGAAGGGTCTCAGGTTCAATTCCTGGTCAAGGGCACATACCTTGGTTGCACCGGGCCTGGTCCGGGCACATGTGGGAGGCAACCAATTGATGTGTCTCTCACATCAGTGTTTCTCTCTCTCTGTCTCTCCTCCTCCCTTCCACTCTCTCTGAAAACCAATGAAAAAATATCTTTGGGTGAAGATTAACCAAAAAAAAAAAAACATAGCAAAGGAAACATTGGTGTTATTGGGGGAAAGTGGAAATAAGCCCAATATTTGATGACAAAATATTTATAATCAGTTATATCTCAAATATGTTAAATAGCACATGGAATGTGCATGCCAGATTTGGGTGGGAGGGTGGAGGGCAAGGAAGAGGAAAGTCACTGTGAAGAACCCTGACTTACACTCAATTAGCATGTTCTGTAGTTAAAGATGGAAGTGGAATTATTTTCTTAACCTGGGTCAGCCTCCTATCTGGAGTTTCTGGAAAAGAAAGACTGAACCTCCACAGAGAACTTCGTATTTTAGACTTTCTGGGATTCCCTTTGAGTAGTTCAGACTCTTAGCTTTCCAAGATTCCAGAGTAGTTCTCTTGGAGAACCCAAGCTAGTACTGATCCATATCCTGGGGTGCTTCTTAGAGGTCCCCTAGAACTTTCTGTGAGCTGTGTGGCCTTTCCCCCAGCCAACCTACCTTTGTTTTCACAGTCTGGCTAAGGTGTCCTCTTGCCAGCCTCTGCTTACATGTACTGTTTCACTTGCTTTATTTGTTGGGACTTGGTACTCCCTAGATTGTATCTGATGAGGATGTTCCACCCATGTGGTCCTTATCCTGTGAACTTGGGAATGATTAAAGTCTAGAGCACAGGATCATTACTCTTTCCAATCCTCATGAACCTTGTATCAGAAGATTAATAATCATTGATAGGACCTGGGGTGTGTGACACAGAGTTTTATTGCTGTAGCTGAAAATGCAAATATCACTACTACAGAAGCATTGGGCAGGAAGCTGTTAAATTCTTTGAAAAGAGGCATGCACACACTTTCTTTTTAAAAATATATTTTATTGATTTCAGAGAGGAAGGAAAGGGAGAGAGAGATAGAAACATCAATGATGGGAGAGAATCATTGATTGGCTACCTCTGCACATCCCCCACTGGGGATTGAGCCTGCAACCCAGGCATGTGCCCTAACCAGGAATCGAACCGTGACCTCTGGTTCATAGGTTGATGCTCAGCCACTGAGCCACGCCAGCTGGGCCACACACTTTCTTAAAAGACCATGTGCACTGTAGCTGTGTATGTCTGATCTAGGGCCAAAGGTGAATTTTCTTGATGTCTAAGAGAGTTGCATTGAGCATACGTCATAAGAACCTTTGCCAACTTGGCATAAAGGAGGCAAACGGATAGCATAGACTCCTCCATGAGTGGGGCAGGGTTCTGGGTACACAGCTTGTGCTGACTGAGAGATGCCACTGTCCTCTGTATAATTCTAGGGAGTGTGCTGCAGCTGACATGGGCGTTATTTTAGCTGCCAAATGTTCATTCACATACTGTCCTGACCTTTGGCCAAAAGAAAAAAGAGATAAAAGTAATTCCTAAATACTGCATGGAGGGGAGGCAGGGGTAGGGGGAAGGTTGGTTTCTCCAGTGGGTGCTGACCTCACACTCACAGTCACCATCATATGAAATGAATGTGTTGAATCTTGGATCTGTTCAGTTAGACGATTGCTCTTTTAAAATAAACAAGGAAGGCTAATCTCCAGTTTCTTCTGGGGGGTGATGGGAGAAAGATGATTAGTTCAAACATCTAAGTTTGCTCCAAGTAGATTAAAGGGTGAGGTGAGATAGATAAAGAAGCATGGGATAAATTCCTGAGTGGGATGAAAATGGAGTTGGAATACTCTGGTCATTCATTATCAGCTGTTTCTATGCTCTTACCTTACTTTTCTCTGTCTCCCCCCTGTTGTTGGTGGGCTGGGATGTGAGGAGGTGGTAAGGTGGGGTTTGGTCTGTGAATGAAAGTAGGAAGAGGAAGACAAATGTTTCTCTTTCTATCTCTTTCTCTAGCCTTAACCCTTGACTGAATAGTCTCACTAAGCCATGGTTTGAAAGTACCTTATTAATCTTACTTAGAGAGCCTGCTTTTCTGACTACAAAGCGTTTCCTGGGACTTTTTAGTGTGCTCAGGATTGCAGTTTGAAGAAAGGGAATGCTGGGAATGCAGAGGTGTTGGGAGGAGCAGGGAGGACTAGGGAAGATTGTTTGGTCACCCCTGTTAGCATTAAGGACCAATGAGGGTCATTATCATCATAGATTTAGAAATGTAACTAGTCAGAACTGAGTGGATCTATTTCTCAGGGTCTCAAAAAAACTAAGGTATATAACCTCATATGCCAATATATTTAGTGTACACACCAAAGCGTGTATAATCAGAATGCCAGTATGCAGTGAACATGTTCACTTGCTTAAGTGATCAGACTCGTGTGTCTGTTCATTAGCATGTTCTGTCCTTACAGAGGCCAAACTAGAAGGAGAAAGTTGCTTGGAGAACATGGGGTCAGAATCAGGTGGTTAGTTGGAAAACCTTTGTGGCTGTGTGATCAAACCAGGCCAGCCTGACACCGCTGTCTCCACTCTCGGGATGGGGCTGCTAGAAGTGCCACGTTTGCAGCCTGGGGCTCCTGCCCCTAGGACAGCCCTGGAGAGTTTTTCCAAACTGGCCTCTTTGGACTCCTTTGATGGATATGATACTCACCATGTCCTTTTTGTTAGCACAATTTTCTCCAAGTTCATAACAGAGCAATTATTTCAATAGGCCTTTTAGTTATCTTAATCTGGTGTTTTCTTCCCAGTTTCTTTCATTGGATTTAGGGAAATTACTTATAGTCTCCTGGGTTATTTCTATACAAGATAAATCTTATCCCTTATATTTCGACTTTTCCTCATCTCAGTCTCACAGGTAACCTTAGTTGCAGTTTTGGAGTTGTGGGGTTTGACTGTTAGTCCTATCAGTGTCCAAACATGGCAGTGTGGCAGCCATCAGAAATTGAGATAACTCTAAATTCAGAGGGTACAGAATGATCCAGCCTGTTGTCAGGAGGAGAGCCAGTCCGTTCCCCAGTGACATTAGAGCTGCAGTCATTTTCTCTGATAAATAATTGAACTGTGCTTTCCGAGGGGTCTCATTACAATGAGCAGGAGTATAGAGGGTGAGAGGTTTGGTTACAGTGAGAGGAGGGATGCAGGAGGCAGATAGATGTGCCTGCCCTAAAGTGCCCTGCTCTGTGCCCCTGCAGTGAGGGGGACACCAGGTGATGCTCTGAGACAGAGCGGTGGGTCTCATTGCTTCAGCTCCTCAGAGCCAGTCCCCCTCCTTGCTCAACTGGAGAGAATCTCAAGGAGCCAATAGTGTCATTCCTTTAATTAAGTCCCAGATTTGGCCTTTGGGGACTTTCATATGATTGAAACTTGAGGGTTGATGCGTTTGAGGTACCAAATGCACTCACTGGGAATTGGAGGGTGACTGTGGGTAAGCCCCAGGGAGTGGAGAACTCTTTGCTATTGTGATCTCTGGGGCCGAGGGCCAGATATTCATTCACCCTCATTAATCTTTTTCTCTCTTCTTTCCATGTCCTTGCCTTGGAGCAGTTATTACAGTAAGTATTTTCCAAGGGGGGGTGGGGAGGATGGAACTGTAGATGATTTCTAAGAAAAAAGAAATAAAAATGTAACTGCACTGGAGGTTACTGGGTATTCCTCTCTTTCTCTTGGGTGACTTTTGGAGTTGTTGAGGCTTAATCCTTTCAGTCCTAAGGAGAAACCTATTAATTGGCAAAGAAGCCTCTTTCTTTAAGCTGCCTTGGCATGTGGCTTTGTAAGGTGCAGCAGTCATGGCCTCCTAGCTCTGGCTCTCACATGTTCAGAATGAACCAAGGCTCTTCCCTGCTCGCGCCACGTCATACCTTTAGGTTTGTACAGAACTTCAGTTCAGCTGACCTGAGTGGGGCTTCCCAATGGGCATCTATTGACCTCAGTGAACACTGACCCGTGGCATAATTATGAAGTCAGCAGGGTTTTTCTTCCATGCCCATCCCCTGTGTCATTGCCCCTTCTCTCCACCTTTCAGCATCCTCATCCAGTGCCTTGTCCCTGTTGGTCAACATAGGCAGTTCTTGGGAACCCAGTCCCTGCTAAGGAATTAATGGACTAATGTGTTCCTCCTTTGCTTAGTTCTAATTTTGAAAAAGCACTAAGGGAAGAAGATAGTAATTAGCATGAAGAGTTCATTTGCTGAGAAGAGAACTTTGGACCTCAGCAAAAGGTTGGCTAGGGGGGAATGGGGTAGTGATGAACATTTTTGGTGGGTTAGGAAGTCTTCCTCTGTTCTTCCCACACTACTAATTATTAGCACCCTGTGCATAAGCTAGTAATCTATAAATTACTACAGACCTTGTTGGCTGGGGTGAGGATTGAGTGAGATAATGCATGCCTAGCATGCTGTGGGCTCCCAGTAAAGTTAGCTGTTATTATAAGGCAGAAGTTGCAGTCTCTGATCCAGTAATCTTTACTTTTCAACTTTGAGCCTGGTGACAATAAGGTATTTTCCCCCCTTCCAGAATGAGTACATGAAAGAAGACTTTCTGATTAAAATTGAAACCTGGCACAAACCCGATCTTGGCCAGCAGGAGAATGTAAGTAGCACTTCCCAAGAGCTCCAAAGGCTTCCAAGCTTCAGGGTAGGGTATTGCGACTCTGCCCTGTTGCTTCTCCATCCCTGCCATGGGGTCCGCTCTGTGCTTTCCTTTTCCTGACCTGCTGGGTAATGGCCTCTGCTAGACCTGTCCTACCAGCATGGGGTTGCTCTGTCTCTGATTTGCAAAATATGATCTCTAAGACTCCTTAGAGGGCCTTTGCATTGTACTGGGATTGATCTAAAATGCAACTTCTGGTACAGAGGAGCTGTATTTTTAAAACATCAGGATTACAGCCTCTGTAGAGCACAATTTCCCAGTAACTCCTCAAATTTAAAATACATCTATCCTTTACCCCAGCCATTCCACACCTAGGAATGTATCATACAGTTATGTTAACACATGTACAAAATAACTTATATACAGGAAGGTTCATTGCAGCATTCTTTGTGTAGTCAAAGATTAAAAACAATACAAGAGCCCACCAGTAGAACACAAATAAATTCTGGTTCAGCCTTATAGTGGTATATTTTGCAAACATTATAAAGAACCAATAGAGAGAAAAAAGAACCAATAGGGAAAAATCTTCAAGATACATTGTTCATTGTTTAAGAAAGCAGGATGCAAAATGGTGTGTATTATGTGCTACCGTTTGTATTAAAAGAAAGATCTTCACACATGGATGTTTATAAGTGCATAGAATCTGGTAGCAGGTGTTAACTCTGGAGAGGACTGGGAGATAAACAAGACAAAGAATTACTCTGTATCATATCCTTTTGTACATTTTGAATTTGTATCATAATTTCATATTATGTATATGTACAACATGTTGGAATTAATTTATTAAAAGCATCCAAATAAACAGTATATGGCTAAGCAGGCAATATTTCCGCGAGTGTTTTATCGTCTTTACAAAGGGGGAACATGTGGAGATAATATAGGTACTATAGGTAGCCCCGAGAGTGTTTTGGCCTGCTGAAGTGGTCCTTAGGCTGAAAAATCAGAGCATTAGTTCTCAAATGTGTACCCACTTAAAATTCATCTTCCCATTCCTTTGAATAATTTTCTTTGTAATTCTTTACCAGTAGAAATCTCACCTCTCTAGCTATGGGAATAGCTGTTTTTAGGTGTCCCTTCTGGGTAAAGGGTGCTTTATAGCTGATAAAAACTACACAGTGATGCTCCTTGTTCCTGCAGGTGCATAAACTGGAGTCTGAGTCATGGAAACATGTGGAAACCGTATATATAGACATTGCAGATCGAAGCCAAGTACTTAGCAAGGTAGGAACTGTTTAGAGATGTGTGTAGCCTTTGAGATGAAGAAATGACTTCTAAGTGTCAGAGAAATCAGGGAACCAGACCCAAGTTGGCTAAATGGGAAGTTCTCTCTTGGGTATTGTTTTATTTTTAAAATTAGTATTAAGAATTCCCTTGTCTTGACCCGGGAACACCACCAGGGAAATAGTGGCCCAGATGTGTGTGTCCTGTTTGGCCTCTGGAAATGATCACTGGACAGGGTAGGTACTGTTGGTAGTCCTGAGGGTGATCCGCCCCGCTGAAATGACACTTAGCCTGAAACTAGTTCTCAAATTTATTTTTCCAACCCAGTAATTAAGAAACATTTAGTGCCCACCTGTTGTGTTTGGAGTATTCTGTTTTGTGTGTTCCATGCAAGGAATGTTCCAGATATGTGAAAAGACAAGTCCCCTGCCCTCAACAAGTTGGTAGTTGCTTCTCAGAGTAACAAACATGGCAGCAGGTGCCTAGCAAAGGATGGTCCACTGTTTGACCATGCAGGTGGAGCGTGCAGGGACCTGGTCTGCCCTGCTCACTGCTGTGCTCACAGGAGGTATTTGTTCAGGAAAGGAAAGGGTAGTTCTCCCTCATTCAGTACTCTTCCTGCCTGACAGGCCTGATGGAATCAGGGAACAGGAATTTGAATAGTGTTTGCTCTCCATATCCCAGGAATATATATAGCAAAGTGAATATATCATAAGGGTGCAGCTTGATGGATCTTCTCAAACTGAACATACACACACAGATATTTCTCAAACAGAAATGCTAGCAAAGAGTATGACTTCGAGTATTTTGTCAACTCTTGTTTCGTGTGAATGGAGAGGAGCAGAGGTAGGGAAGATTTTTTTTTTAAGCATACATAAATAATCTTAGCTTTGGGAAATATTTTATGACTGTGTGTGTATGTCTGTGATTTGTTGATGTCATTATTTTTGTTAGGTAGTTGCTATGAGTTTGCTTTTCATGGGCCCACAGTCAATGCAGAGGAACTGCCAAAGAGTCAGCTTTTATTATGGTTAATTAGCGCACAGCATTGACTGCATTCTACATCAGTGAAGTGAAACTGACAAAAATGCACAAGAGGATACTATAATTGAACATTTTATGTTCGATACATTGAACATTTCTAATAATGATTTTATTAAAACAAGACAGTTTAAAAAAAGAAAAGAAAGAAACAAGCCAGACAGAGATCAGGTTAGATCTCAGGAACGATAGCCAGTTGTTCTTAGCTCTGGCTGTGTGTTTTAGAGTCACCCCCAGAGGTTAAAAAACAACAACAACAACAAAACCATGCTGCCCTTATCTTCAGATATTCTTATTCATTGGGTTTAAGGTGGAGTGGCTCAGAAATCTGTATTTTTAAAAAGCTGTCCCTGGTAATTTGGATGCTCACTCCAGGTTGAAAATTGTTTTTAGACAGTAGAATACATGTCTGCTCAAACAGTCTGGTGACACTTTCATATGGTAGAACTGAACACAAACCCTGGCAGAGAAAGCCACCAGAACACTCCTCTGAGGCAAATGTAACAGTTCCATATCCTGTTTATAATATTTCCCGTATTTTCTGTTGGCCATCAGCATTAAGATTGGCGTGAAGTGTACTTTGATGGAAAATCTGATTCCTCTCTCCCTCCCTTCATCTTCCTATCTCCCTCTCTCCCTGTCTCTTTTTTCCTCCTTTCCTCCCTCCCCCAACTCCAATTCTACCATTTCTCAGGATTACAAAGCAGAGGAAGACCCAGCAAAATTTAAATCTATGAAAACAGGCCGAGGACCCTTGGGCCCCAATTGGAAGGTGCAGTTCACATCCTCACCACCAGGGGGATGGACCCAGTGTGGGTGGGCCTCTCCCAATGGCTGGGGCTGGGCTAAGGGAGAGCCAGAGCTCAGTTCTGTTAGTTACCTGCCTGCCTGTGGATGTGTTTCTAATACAGCAAGAACTTGTAAATCAGAAAGAGTGCCCATACATGTGTGCATACAAACTGGTTACTGTCAAGTTCAAGTGGTGGGGCCTGCAGAACAAAGTGGAAAACTTTATACATAAGGTAAGTGACCAGGTGAGGCCTTCCCAGTTTTATGGGTTGGTGGGGGTGTTTTGCCCAAGAGAAGATCATACAACCCATGTGACTTGTATCCTAGGGTAGATGACATTCAAATATTTCAGTTTGATTTCCCAGACCCCCACGTATCCTTATACTTAACTGTCTTACAGTTTAATACTGTCCATCCAAGGGCACCACATGTGACAGGGAAGGAAACTGAGGCCAAAAAAAAAAAAGGAAACAGGAAGAGGCTTACTAAGATTGAAATACAAATAAAACTCAGTCTCTGTCTTTTCTTGAAGCCAAAAGGCAAGAGGCACTGTGAGCCAGATTCTCCAGTGCCCTGAATTACTGAACTAGGCACATGTAAGGAGTTTTTATAGCCTCTTTTTCTGACGTGTTAGAGCCTCACTCTTGGGCTATATTTTATAGCTGCTGTTGGCCAGTTTTAACCTGGCTTTAGTCTTCAGAGACAAGGAGGAAACTTGGCACAGTTGTTTTGGGGCCTTGGCTTAGCTGTGAGCTCATGGGTTGCTGTCTAGGTAGCATTTTGGGCACAGGGCCTAGCTGTGAGGTAGACACCCTTTTTCTCCTGGGGGCCCCCTCCCACTCAAAGCCATACCTATTAGACTTGTGAAGACAAAAGTCACTGACCCTATGGGACTGGAGGACTGCTTTAGTTAAGCCAGCCAGGCATCACTCCTCCCCCACCTCCCCATTAAAGTGTGGGTATTGGCCCGGCCAGGTGCCCCAGTGGTAAAGCGTCGACTCTTGAACCAAGAGGTCACCAGTTCGATTTCTGGTCAGGGCACATGCCTGGATTGTGGGCTCGATCCCCAGTAGGGGGTATGCAGGAGGCAGCCGATCGATGTTTTTCTCTCATCCTGCTCCCTTCCCCTCTCTCTAAAAATCAATAAAAACATTTTTTTTAAAGAATGGTTAAAAAAACTAAAAAATAAAGTGTGGCTATTGGTTCGGTGATTATGGGGAGGGGAGCTACAACAGTGGCCTTCACCTCTTGGGTTCTAACTGAGTTCCCTCCTTTTTATAGCAAGAGAAGCGTCTGTTTACAAACTTCCACAGGCAGCTGTTCTGTTGGCTCGATAAGTGGGTTGACCTGACCATGGACGACATTCGAAGGATGGAAGAGGAGACGAAGAGACAGCTGGATGAGGTAAGTGAATGTCCACAGGAGCTCTGGGCTCTCGACTAGATAAACATGTGAAGGGGACTGTCGTGCTGGAACAGTTCACTGAGGGCACTGTTTGTGGTTCTAGGAACGTGTCAGTGTCTGCTGTGGGTAAGGCCTAATGCCAGGCAATCTGGGAACTATCAGGAAAGCAGCCTGTGCTCTTGAATTTGCACTCTAGTTGAGGTCTTGGCATATCCAGAGAACAAATATGGCAGGACGTGCTGAATGCCAAGTGAGTAATACAGTTGCTGCAGTGGTTCTTTAGAGCCAGTGGGGGAATCGTGCTGGGCTCCAGAGATGGAGGTGACCCTGGGAGGAGGCAGGCTGATTGTGAATACCACACACACGTCCCACAGAGGACACAGCAGCACACACAGAATTAATTGCTCTATTAGGTGGTTTTGAGTCTGGAGTCTGCTCCGTGGGAGCCTGAAGATCTAACGTTTGGAGATGCTGCCTGCAAGGCTCACTCTGAGGAGATCGTCATAAATAACATTACATACTCACTGAGTAAGGCACTGTTCTGAGGCTTTTATGTACACCATCTCCTGTGAGCCTCACAACACCCATGAGTAGGCACCACTATGATCCCTACCCTCAGATAAGAAGCTGGAGGCTCTGAGAGTTCAACACATGTGCTCAGGGTCACACAGCCTGCTGGTGATAAGGTCAGCGTTAGAGCCAGAGCTCTTAATCATTCTGCCTCTTCTCCTCCCTCTAAATGCTATTTGGGCCCCTCCTTCTTGCTTGGAGCTAAAAATAAGAAAGAAAGCTCTTTTTCATAAGATCTTCCATCCATTTCTCCCTTTTTGCCTTGAGTGGGTTGGCACAGAGCCTGGGTGTCTGGCAGACATTGCTTTGCATGGCCTGTCTGGCTCTCCAGCAGGGTCTTGGGTGAGACGCAGGCCTGGGTGCTGTGGTGCCCCATACTGCATGGCAGGAGCCCTTCCTTCCTCTGGAGCCCCCAGGGGAGTTGTTCTTAACTCCAGGATGCCACTTCCTGGGCTGATCACTGGTTAAGTGGTATGCTGAGTTAGTTCCTCTTGAAGGCAGATGTTTTGGTTATTCATTCAGCTACATTTGGCAGGAAGTGGTAGGATTTTGGACACAATTTCTGATTCTTTGGCTAAGGATCTTCAGGAGTGGTAGAATTTAACATCCAGGGCTCTGGCCATTCTGACTATATAAGAGAGGCCTGAGTTTTTTTGTCACCCTAATCCTGACAAAAAGAAAAGGTTACTAAATGGATCACAGAGCCTTCAGGGCTTTGGTCTGGAGCTTCAGCCACCCACTGTCTAACAAATGGCAGCCTAAAGTACACAGGTTCATGGAAGTGCTTGCAGGCAGCCTTTTGCCGTGGGTAGAATTTGAATTCTTGGACTTGGGAGAACTTGCCAGAGGATCTACTGGGTCTGCCTCCCTCAGATCTGAGCTTTAAGAGCCTTCATCATTAGGGAGTTCTTTTTTAACTCCCACCCCTTGTCTTTGCGTGTTCTTCATTCTCTGGAGAACTGTGCCAAAAGCTTAGATGACCCCTCTCCTCCAGGGTGACTGTAAATGCAGGAGCCCTGTTTGGAATTGGAATTTTAAAAATAGTTTGCAGAGGAAGAGAAAGCAAAGCCAAATCCATGTTACAGTGTAACATATTTTGACCCTGTTAGCAACTGTACAATACCTTTATTTATTTATTTTTTTAAAAATATGTATTGATTTTATAGAGAGGGGAAAGGGAGAGAGAGACAGAAACAATGAGAGAGAATCATTGATTGACTGCCTCTTGCATGCCCCTCACTGGGGACCAAGCCCAAAACCTGGGCATGTGCCCTGACTGGGAATTGAGCCAGCAACCTTTTAGTGCATAGGATGAGACCCAACCAACTGAGCTACACAGGCCAGGGCTCTTTTATAATTTAAAAACATTTTTTAATTGATTTGAGAGAGAGAGCGGGGGGAGGGAGGGAGGGAGGAAAGGAAAGAAAGAAGTGGAGAGAAAATATCAAAATATCAATCAGCTGCCTCCCGCATGAACCCTGACCAGGGATCAAACCCTTCACCTTTTGGTGTATGGAATAATGCTCCAACCAACTGAGCCACGGGTCCAAGGATATTTTTTCGAGTGATTTTTAGAGAGAGTGAAAGAAACATCAATTTGAGATAGAGACATTGATTGGTTGCCTCCTGTATGCGCCCAGACTGGGGATGGGGATCGAACTTGCAAGAACCTGCAACCCAGGTAACTTGTGCTTGACTGGGAATCAAACCTGTGATCCTTCATTGCACTAATCATTAAGAAAACCAGCCAGGGCACTATGTTTTGTGGGGTTTTTAAAATATATTTTTCTAGAGGCCAAATGCACGAAATTCGTGCAAGTGTAGACCTTCTTTCCCCTGGCTGCTGGCACCAGCTTCCCTCTGGCACCCGGGACCCAGGCTTCCCTCGCAGCCCCAGCTTCATCCCGAAGGTCATCCAGAAGGTTGTCTGGAAGGACATCCGCTCTAATTAGCATATTATACTTTTATTATTATAGATTGATTTCAGAGAGGAAGGGAAAGGGAGAGAGAGAGAGAGAGAAACATCAATGATGAGAGAGAATCATTGATCAGCTGCCTCCTGCACACCCCCTACTGGGGATTGAGCCCACAACCCAGGCATGTGCCCTTGACCAGAATCAAACCCAGGACCCTTCAGTCTGCAGGCTGATGCTCTATCCCAGGGGTCCTCAAACTACGGCCCGCGGGCCACATGTAAATACAAATAGTGTATTTGTTCCCGTTTTGTTTTTTTACTTCAAAATAAGATATGTGCAGTGTGCATAGGAATTTGTTCATAGTTTTTTTTTTTAACTATAGTCCGGCCCTCCAACCGTCTGAGGGACAGTGAACTGGCCCCCTGTTTAAAAAGTTTGAGGACCCCTGCTCTATCCACTCAGCCAAACCAGCTGGGGTTTTGGTTTTAAGTACTTTTTCTTTTTTCCTACATGCATTATCTTCCTTTTCTAAAGCTATAGTTTTTGTTTTTGTATTTGGTTTTGGGGTATCTCTGCTCCAAAGAATAGTCTTTGTTTCCTCATAGCTCCTTTTTCTTGTTGTACTCTGTGTTTTGCATTAGGGACTTTCCTCAAATGGCTGGTGGTCCTTGGCCACATTTAAGAACAAAGCTGTATAGTATTGTGACTCTACTGTGCATCTTGGGCAACTAATTACCAAATGAATTATGTCACAATAACAGATTTTAATTCTGCATTATTTGTGACTTTAAATGTTTGTTGCCCAGATGTTATGAAAGAATAAAGCTTTAAGAAATACTAATTAACTTAGCATGAAGATACTCACTCATGCTTAAGAATGACAGTTGTTGCCCTGGCTGGTTTGGCTCAGTGGATAGAGTATCAGCCTGTGGACTGAAGGGTCCTGGGTTCAATTCCAGCCAAGGGCACATGCCCGGGTTGCGCGCTTGATCCCCAGTGGGAGTGTGCAGGAGGCAGCCAATCAATGATTCTCTCTCATCAATGATGTTTCTATCTCTCTCTCCCTCTTCCTTTCTCTCTGAAATCAATAAAAGAACCATATTTTTTTTAAAAAAGAAGAACAACAGTTGTTGCCCAGCCAGTGTGGCTCAGTTGTTGAGCGTTAACCCATGAACCAGGAGGTCACGGTTCGATTCCCAGTGAAAGCACATACCTGGGTTGCAGGCTCGATCCCCAGTAGGGGGCATGCAGGAGACAGCCAATTAGTGATTTCTCATTGTTTTTTTTTAAACATTTTCTCATCATTATTGCTTCTACCTCTCTCTCCCTCTCCCTTTCTCTCTCTGAAATCAATTTAAAAAAAGAAAGAAGGTTGTTGAAGTTAGATACCTGTCTTCCATTGAATCAGGTAAAGAGAACTGATGAATATATTACAGACATTTTTTATCAGGTTAATGAAAACAGTAGTCTGAGACATTGAAGACATCACTATTTAGTTGCTATACTGTTAATTTCTCTGTAGTTCAATGCTTTTATGGTAACAGTACTCTGAAGAATATACAATTGAGAATCTAATATATTGTAAAGGGAGGTGCATTCGGGAAAATTGCCAAGACACTACTGTTGTGTATAAATTCCCAGGTGCTGACTTTGCTGTGGTAGGAAGAGGGCTGGTTGCTTGACTGTGAGAACTGGGGGAGGGAATGCCAGGGCTGAACTGTTCTTTTTGTTGTTGTTGTTCTTTTTTTTTATATTTTTACTAGAGGCCCGATGCATGAAATTCGTGCAAGAGTAGGCCTTCCTGCCCTAACCAGTTTGGCTCAGTGGATAGAGCGTCGGCCTGCGGACTGAAAGGTCCCAGGTTCGATTCCAGTCAAGGGCATGTACCTTGGTTGCGGGCACATCCCCAGTGGGAGGTGTGCAGGAGGCAGCTGATCGATGTTTCTCTCTCATCAATATTTCTAACTCTCTATCCCTCTACCTTCCTCTCTGTAAAAAATCAGTAAAATATATTTAAAAAAAAAAAAAAAAAAGAGAAGGCCTTCCTTCCCCCAGCTGCCAGCACCGTCTTCCCTCTGGCACCCGGGACCCGGGCTTCCCTCACAGCTCCGGCTTTATCTGGAAGGTTGTCCGGAAGGATGTCCGGTCTAATTAGCATATTACGCTTTTATTATTATAGATTGAGAAGAATGGAGAGGGAGAGAAAGATAGAAACATCAATGATGAGAGAAAAATTGATCGGCTGCCTCCTGCATGCCCCCTACTGGGGATTGAGCCCGAAACCCAGGCATATGCCCTTGACCAGAATTGAACCCAGGACCCTTCAGTCCACAGGCCCACACTCTATCCCCTGAGCCAAACCAGCTAGGACTGAACTGTTCTTTATTTGGACTTTCAAACAAGTCACCTGTTTTCAACTCCACCTCCACTCCCACCTTCAGAGGTGCTTCCAGTTCCTGAGCCTTTGGAAAACCTACAGCACAAATTGGTCTGCTCCTCCTTGGCTCCCTCCTC